GATCTTGGAAAAGATCGATAGTTCTTTGGTTATAAAAAACTCCGGCACCTTCCTTTATGAGTTTCATCTTAGCATCAAGAAACTGATTAAACAACTGGAAAGGATCAGTAATAAAAATAAGTAGACAAATATATATCTATATTATTCAATGAAACATGTTTGAATGAAGATATGTAGCCCATATATATATATATATATATATATATATATATATATATATATATATATATATAGATAGATAGATAGATAGATAGATAGATAGAAAATGAAAACAATAATTAGCCGAAGCGTTTTGTTCTTTGGGGGACTCTAACAAGGCAATGATAAAGTCCCTCAGGAGATGAAACGCGGCGGATAAATATATTTTCTCCTTTTGTCTCTTATTCATTTTGTCTTTTCTACAGATACACTAATCGGGAGAACATATATATATATATATATATATATATATATATATATATATATATATATATATATATATAATAATGGACTCTCCGTCGTATGAGGAACTGCCAGCTTATTGATTCAGTTATGAAAGTTATATATATATATATATATATATATATATATATATATATATATATATATATATATATATATATATATATATATATATAGAGAAAAGAACTCACTAGTGAAGTTTTTACGATTGTTCCAAAAAGTCACATTTAGGCGCAAAACTGACAGTGACCTTATAGACACCATTTTTATAGACACCATTTTTTATTCCAATGTCCACACTTTCTAGATCTATAAAAGTTCTATCTCTGATATTGAGCATTCTTTGCCAATAAATATAACAAATTTATATATATATATATATATATATATATATATATATATATATATATTGTATTTGAATGAGAAATTTTGTCTAGTCAGGTAATTCTATAATTTCTGGCTGTAAAGTAGCCATACATCTAGATTAAACTTTTGAAAAATAAATTTCGCCATATTTTTGTGTGACTTACAATTTTCTAACATGGCTATTCATTATTAAGATCATTACAATTACCATGGGAATAGAGAAATGTTTTGATTAATTTCAATGTTTTTTTTTCTTTTTAGAAGCGTTATAATTTTAATTTAACTGTACGGCTATCGAGTACAAGTAACAATGCTTACATGCTACTTCCTAAAACTTTGCCATTCACGTCGATCAACAATCACGTGATCACAAGAAAATGTTACTGCTAGACAAATACTACAACTAAAAAATAAAATTACGATAATTGTAAAAAAAACAACTTTTTTTAATCAGTTCGTCTCAGGCAAAGCGATAATGCCACTATGACGTAATCTACTGTGAGTGAAAGAGAATGAAAAGATTTTAGAAGGAACTGGAAACCTGATCTTAAACTAGGAAGCAGGGATGAATTTCTACTTAACTTCTCAAAAGACCGGGGAGAATTGACACCGGGCATATCTACCCTTATTGAGGAGAAAGTAATAATAGTCTTGGAAGTATAGAGTTGAAGTAGAATTTAGAATGAACAGCAAACCCAATCCAAAATGTTAAAAATGAAATAAACCTCTACTACTGTTAAAAAGGCCGGCTCACACACCTCCCTCGACTTTTAAACAAGAGTCGATGTTTATCACTTGTTTGCTGTTTAAGATAAAGTTTCTTTCTACATTCAACTTCAAATCTACACTTCCGTCTGAACTATGAAATTTTATTTTTGAAGCGATTCACCGATATGAAACACATAGTGAATTGTGAATTGTATTTTAAATTGTGTTGAAACATTAAGAAATAATAAAGGGTTAGGAGAAGGTACCACTCAGAAATACCTCCCACATAATAGTCCGACATTAGCTCGATGATGACATCATTGCCACTAATGTCTTACCATTATGTGGAAGGTATTTCTGGGAGGTATATGTGGAAGGTATTTCTGATGCTCCCTGTATGTTTGTTTTCACGGGCGCTGTCAAATTATGCGATTCTTGAGGGCACATTTCTTTGAGAAAGTTATCGCTTATAGCTTATAGCTATTCATCATTGAACGTTATTTGCATTCGCTGGAATTGGTAGTAGTGGGATTAACTGTTTCCATACAAGAAACTTAAAAAAACTCACCGACTGCTGATTGAAATTCATGACATCTTTCTCTTGAAAGAGTTTCTCAGGAAAATGGACTTCTCAAGTTCAATGTTATCGCTCTTGTCAATATTTGCGCATGTTGTCAGAAAGATAGACAGGCTCCTATCGGTTTGGGTGACAACCAATCTAGGAGAAGAAAACTGAATTAAAACCACCTTTTTAGGCAAACGCTAGAAGTTAACTTCAATAACAAATCCATCCCCTTTCTTGTTTCAAAGAAAGGAACTGTCCCCACGCCGTAATTCGAGCCAGTCAGTCAATTATGTGCCATGAGCGATACACGCTTAGGCTATCATATATCTTTCGATACATGACTGACGAGGCAGATTTTTTTTTCCGCAGTAGGTTGCCATTTCTTTCTGGACCAGTTGCCATCCAAGGCTATAGAACTCGGTCTTTCTGCTATTTACCCATAGCTGGGTGGGGGAGGGGGAGATGAAAAGGCGGATTCATACCTTTCCCAAGGGTAATAGCACGTAAGTGAATGTAATGGATTCGACTGGTATTCGAACTCGTCTCTCCGATTCTTTAATCCGGGCTGCTGCCTATTACTCCACCCAGACACGACAAAAAAAATAATTGACTTCTCAGGCTTAGTACAATGTTTCGAACACACGCAAAACTGGGACACCGCACGGTGCGATTTCAAACCATTACCCCATGGATGTATCATTCGTCCATGTTTTTTGTATGTGAGTGTGTATATATATATATATATATATATATATATATATATATATATATATATATATATATATATATATATATATATATATATATATATATATATATATATATAACAATGGATCATTCATACAAAAAGTAGATTAGTAAAGTTAATGATATAAAATGGTGAAATCCCTTCGCTAAGAAAATTTTAACCGTGCATTAACCTACAAATCCCTCGATCAATGTTATGATCCTTGTTTTTAAAAATTATAAGCTGCATAGGGTCTTTCTTTAATACGTATGTACTTTGGACTGTACATTCAGTCATCTTCAGGTATGAAAATTATTTTGTTTTTGGTAAAATCCAGGTAGCATCAGAGACAAAAAAAATATAATGCGAATCGAAATATGTATTTTGTTTAAATGTGTTTAAATGTTTTATTATTAACGGATACAAACTTTTGGAGCGTGCAGTCGCAACGCTAAGGTTGATTTTTTTTTTAAATTCAAGAGAGTGTGTTTTTTACTAATATGTCATTTTGAGAATTTTTTGTAGGAGTTTATCAGTCAATGTCGCATGAACTAAATTGTTCAATAAATAGAGTAATATCTCAGTTGTTATCCCGAAAATTTGCACGTCAATATCATTAACTTTACTAATCTACATTTTGTATGAATGATTCATTGTAATATAAATTGAAGTGCAGCACATATTTGAGATATATATATATATATATATATATATACATATATATATATATATATTCTTCTATTAATGTTTATCTAATACAAGGCCCAAGAGCCACTCGAGGTAGAATGCTTCTTTGTACTATTGTATGAGCGTAATAAAAGGTCATAAGTGAAGTTCATTAGATTATACACAAAAAGAAAACAGTTAACCCTAGACTTGAAGAGGTTAAAATTGCAGTGATTGGGAAAACATCCAGTTGGGAGTCTCTTTCACGAAGCAGCAATTTTTGGGAAGAAGTTTTCCAAATGGAACTCACTCAAATACTGATTTCCTGTTGTAGTTTTAAAATTATCTTTATTTCTGATTTTGCTCTGATTTGCTTGAAAGATTTATTTCGTTAAATGTTTAAACATGTGTTCTTTTATAGTCTGTAAAAAAAGTATATTTCCTTTAATTTTTTATAACACTGCAAACGGGTGAAACATTAATATTCGGAAAGAACTTTTCTCACAATACACTCCTATCATACTTTCAGCTTCCTTTGTGTATTGTCTAGCTGATGCCAATAATGCCGAGTTCCCATTAAATTTAGAAATCAATTTTGTTACTGTTTTTGAGGCATATCAATGATGCATTAACGTTAAACTAAAAACTGATTGGACTCCTTCAGAAATTATGGATGCCCTGTAGAACATTTCCTTCTGGGATTTTCAATTGCTCCTCTAATCTAACTATACAATAGCTAACACTCTATAACCCATCTACGAAGTTTTGCTGGTTTTGAACAGAAGTGTAAAATATACATATCCGCCGTCCAGAAAATAGTTGATCGATAATTTCTAAAACTTGGAACTCAAAGTTGATTATTTCTAGTGTGAAAACTTCAATTAAATCTATTTTTTTAAATAGCTAAGTGCAACCATCACTTCTACTCCAAGAATTTTTTTTCTCGAACTTTCCGCCTGTGGAACTCCCTTCCGTTTACTTGTTTCCCTGATAACTACAATCTTCAAAAATTTAAATGTAACGTCAATCGCCATCTTCTATCTACTTGAGCCCTTTTCATCTTTTGTTCTTTCTTCAATCTTCCATATACTCAGTGCTTTTTCTCACGTTCATTTCCTGTAAACACCTGCGTACTAGTGGCTTTCTGGCCTTGCTTAGGGTGAAATGATTTAAAAATAAATTAAAGGAACTTTAATAATTTTTCAAAATGAATAAAGCAAATAGAACAAATGTAAAACATTTTCCCTGACACAAGGAATTATAGTTTGTTATTTTTATTTTTTCACCAGTTGAAACAATTTTAAAAATATTTTGATTTTGTTTTTTTCAAACCACTGTATCTAAGAGTTTTTACATTTAGAAAGATTCCGCATAAGCAGTCAGAAACACAGAAAACAAACTTTTTCGTTTTCAAATTTTGTCATTCTATAGAAGGATCAGAAATTCTTGTGACTCGCCTTCAGTATAATCCTCTTCGGAGGACCTGGTTTGCCGAATCTTGCAATGAAGTTATGTCGGACATCCTCCATGATCTTGCCAGAATTCACGCGATCATGTGTCCATAGACTTGCAAGCAGCCTCTCTTTCAAACTGTAAGAGTTCGTATCAACCATCTGAAATAGCGAATATTATGTAGGAGTGACAAGAATTTCGGATCACTCTGTAGAATGAACTGAAGATGAAAGTGTATCCATGGAATTAATATTACAATTTATTTCCGTAATTTCTTTACCCAACACTTTTTTGGGGGAAGACTTATGTTCGTATGGTTGACTGGAAATGTCAGTTAAAAGACGTTTTTTTAAGTTTCTGATAAGAATCCTTTGGCAATATTCTTTATTTCCACGTTCTGTTCTTGAATATATTTTAGCTATTGGATCAATTGACTCACAGATCTGATCTTTATAATCCAGTGAAGTTACTACTGCTAATTGTTGTATCGAAGTAATATGGCATGATGTGGCAGTAGTGATCACGTGATATTCACCTACGGACCGTTTCTCATTGGTAGGGACACCCACAAAATTCCGAGAGTGGTTTCCCGTCTTGTGATAGTAATAAATATTAGAGATGTAAATTTCTGTATCTTTTCCTGGAGGCAATAACAGGGATCGATTTAGGGGCAACATTTTTTCTATAATGACCTCGGAGGTCATAGCAGTTTTACTGTGAATTTGTTGGTTGATTTTGTTTAGCGTCATATTAACCTCAATCGTTTATTTAATGGCAAAATCTAAACATTTTGAACACAATTTTATTACTTCATTGAATATAATTTGAAGACAACTGTATGCCTAAAAACTACAGATAAAATGATTTGGTCATTTTGCTATAAAATGTATTGTTGGTAATTTTACTATAGAAATGTAGTGTTGGTATTTTTTATGTAAAAATGTATTGTTGGTATTCGTAGTATAAAAATGTATTTTTATACTTTCATAATGTTTTGGCTTTGTTAGCGGGTTCGCTATTTGCCGGGTCACGGTGGGCACGGGAACAACAGCAATTAAGAGGTGGTTCTACACTTCTCAAAAGTTCCAATCTCCTGACCTTGCTGCCGGATGTAGTTTATCGTTATACCATAATTTATAGCCGGAAAACCTTTCTCTAGATCTTATTGCTCGTGAATGACAATTATATATATATATATATATATATATATATAAATAATAATCAAAACGTTAAATTCTGGAAGCACTTGATATAACAGAATTGCGGTAAAAATACATTGTCAAATTTGAGTACAGCAACAAAGGTCTTAAATATCTGTATCAGCTAAGTTTAATATAAAAATACTGAACTGAAAAATTGTGATTAAAAAAAAAAAATCTTTTTATTTAAACAAAAAAAATTTTCAAAAGTTACCCCTCTTGCATAACTGGAAACAAATTGAATTGGTAACGTTGTAACCGAACAGTGAAAAAATATTTTTAATTTAAGGAGGTACACATCCACGGATATTTTAAACCTCTCAAAATTGTTTCGGATGGGATTAAATGCACTTGGAAAAATAAGAATTATTTGAAAGAAAACTGTAATTTTTCTTAATCAATTTTCTACAGATAGCAAGCAAGAAATTAATTCGTGGAGTCAAGACTATTAAAACTATTATAAATAGACATAAGACATCTAAATTATTTAACCAAACCTGCTCGTAATATATATATATATATTCTACACTCATTTAAAATACTTGTTCATACTGAAGAACAATATAATAAAAAATATCAATTTTTAACAAAGCCCTTATTGGGATTGGTACACAACTCTCTCTCTCTCTCTCTCTCTATATATATATATATATATATATATATATATATATATATATATATATATAATAAAAGAGAATATCCCCTGTCGGGTCGGATTTGAACCTGTTTTTTTTTAAAACAAGGCATTCCATTCAGGTAAGGGTATCCGGTAAAAATAGCATTTGAAGTTATGATATATATTTTAAGACGACATTGGAAGTAAGGCGCAGTCGGGTGTTTGCAGGGAGTGAAAGATAATGAGAAGTCAATCGGATTAAACTTTAAAATCCTCTCTCTCTATATATATATATATATGTGTGTGTGTGTGTGTGTCTGTGCTGGGTTCGATGGTTAAATAACATTGACATCTCATTTTATCAGATATACTTACCAAAATTACACAAAAATATCTTGTCATAATAAAGTGTAAATTTATTCAATAAAATCGCCGTTGGCTTCAAACGTGGCCTAAAGACGACTTCAGAATCACCTGAAACGCTTCTAGACGGTCCCCCTTTTTAAGGTGGTGAATGCACCCGTAATCCTTGCCTTCAGTTTATCTTTGGGATTGCAAAGGGTTTTGTTGGCCTCTCGCTCAATCGCGTTTCACACATAATAATCAGGGGGTTTGTTGTCTGGGAAGTTAGTTGTCCAGATGTAAAGGATGATGTGGTCGCATAAATCGTCTGACAGCCATGATTGTGTTTTCCTGCTTGTATGGCATGGTGCAGAGTCCTGTTGCCAGACATAGGGTCTTCCAGCAGCCACCCTTTTGAACCAGGGCTGCCCTACCACCTCAAGTCACTTTGTGTCGGATTCCTTCAAAAACAAATTCGGGGGAGTTTCTTTTTTCTTATCAGAGCGATCAGAGTGAGTTTTCTGAGCTATCGTACCTCCCTAATCATTGAAGTCATCCATCTGCACTGTCCTCAGATTAACAACTAAACACTCTGAAATGTTCGTATTGGAGCTTCCGGTGCGAATGCCAAGCAGTACAGCATGCCGTTTGCAAATTTCTGGCAGAGTTGATTGCATCATGGTGTTCTTTTTCTCACAGACGGTGCCCAATTGACCCTTCTATACTGTGCAGTCGACAGAATCAAAAACAAACAACGCGCATGCGCGAAATTACAAATATAAAATAGCGACAATTTACATATAGCACTATATATACCTACATTTTTAAATACTTGCAAACAGCAATGTCGTTGCATTGTACCTATGTAATGCTTACGCTGCTGGCTGAAATATATGAGACTTTAATAAAAGATTTATTTTTACTTTGGATAATTCCCACAAGCCTTACGGAGCATAGTTGTTTACAGAACAATTTTACGTCTAAAAATAAAATAGTTTGAATTCGGTGTCAAAATCCCCCCCTTCTTTGTCCTATTTTAGTTTTTATGAATGAAACAAATTCATAGCTGCTCCCCTTCCTCAGCACGAGAAAGTTAATTATATCTTCTTTATTAGAAAGTATGTTTTCATGAACATAGGATTTGTGCATGATTTTATTAAAAAAATAATATTGTTCATCCAGAACAGTGCTCAAGAATTACTCAAACTAGAGGTTTACTGAATGATGTTGTAAGGACTGACATGAAGAATGTAAGAAGTGCATATTATGAGGATAGATAATGGTTGTTCATAAACATGAATAGATTCACATCGTGGTGATCTGGGAAGCATCCTCTTAAGAGTCTCTTGACCTTCTTACTTACAAATGGAATACGAAGAGAATGAGGACGTCTCGAACTTATATACATGGCCTAACGGTCTTAGGCATGAAAATAATCTGAACTGGTAGAACAAAGAAATACAACCCGTCTGTACATTGGCCGAAATCTCAAGAGAAACCTGTAGACATATATAGGACGCAATATTTATTCAGATTATCTATCTATCTATCTATCTATCTATACATACATACATACATACATACATACATACATACATACACGCGCGCGCACACACAAACACCCCCTACATATATATAGGTAGTGCTAAAAAGTTATTGACTTGACCCGATTCATAAAATCAGGCGAAATGATCAAACATCTTTTTTGGGAAGTTTTTTCTTGTTAGACTGAAAGCTTTCAGCACCCTATGTATTGCGTGCGTGACACTTCATAGAACGTGCAAATGGTATGCACTTCGCTTAGGCAAAGTGTCAGCGAGTGACGCTTTCATATTAGTCAGTAAGTACAGATACTACACTCTAATTCTAGTCATTACCCATCTAACGAAGTCAAATAAGAGGCTGACATGCATACTTAAATTGCAAAAGATGCTGCATTCAGTATCACGAAAACAACAAAACACACAAACCCTCCGTTTAGTGGGAGATGCTGTGGGATTCAGAATACCAAGGATTTGTCAAATGTTTTCTTGTTCTTTTGCCACGTACCGCCTGAAGGTGAACGTTCTGAGTCTAGGCTGATGTGCCACTCTGTACGTAATTAATCCGGTCATTTTTTACGGGTACTACGCTAGCAAATATAATAATGATAAAAATATTTTGTAGTATTTTAAAATTATTTAGAAAAACCATTCAAGTATTTAAAAAATATAAATTTATTTTGAAATCTGTGTAATTGGAAATGTCCTGATATTTATTAGACACAATTTGGGAACATCGAGTTGATATTAATAAATAAATAAAAGCCTTTTTATTTTGGTCATAATAATGAAATAGTGTGATTGATCTGTATGCCAACTGTTAAACTTATATAGACAATTGATGCAGTGTTTGCGATAATAACCCAAGCTGTTTCTGCCATTTATTCAAATATTGGTGAAACTACCTACGTCTACTTCTTTACTCAAATTTAAGACAGACATATATCTACGTTTTTACTCTATCGTAAACCGGACCTTTATCCACTCTTTGATAAAAAATGTAAGCCGGACCTATTTCTGCCCTATTGACTCAAGTATAAACCAACGCAATGTCTAATCTTTTGATTCAAGTGTAAACGGGACCTACGTCCGCCATTTTGACTCGTTTGTAAACCGGACCTATGTCTACGCTTTTGACATATGTCTGACATTTTGACTCGTGTATAAACCACACCTATGTCTGGTCCTTTGTCTTAAGTGTAAACCAAATCCATGTTTGCCCTTTTGACTCAAGTGTAAACTGGAACATATCTGTCCTTTTTACTCAGGTGTAAACCAGATCTATGTATACCATTTTCACAAGTGTAAACTGGACCTATGTCTATCCTTTTGACTAAAGTGTAAACTAGACCTATGTGTACCCTTTTGACTCAAGTCTAAACAGGACCTGTCTGTCCTTTTGACTAAAGAGCAAACCGGACCTATTGTAAACCTTTTGACTCAAGTGTAAACTGGACTTATGTCTACCTATTTATTTACTGTTTTTGATGCTGCTTTTTAATATAAGACTTTTATTCGGTATTAAATAACCCAACAGTATATGTCGTTAAATTTACCAACCTAAGCCTTCTGTGTCTTGGAAAAAATCTTTGACAAAATTCCCTTAAATGTAAACATAAACCAAAATGGAAAAAAGATATGTAAATTGAATTTTATACACCAGTTATATTCTTCTACGAAGAAAGTATGGATTAGAGAGAGTTTGAAACTGCGTTTACAACAGAGAAAGCCATTGCAAAAGTGAAAATACTGGTCTAAAGCAAAAAAATTAAAAAAAAATGGAAAGACATTGTACGATGAAAATCGACTGAAATAAACTGTACATTGTGATCATGTCTCAAGTATTTGATTACGTATATGAAATAATTCTAACAAGTTTTATGAAAAAATATAAAATGAATAAATATTGAAATAAAAAAAATGCTGAAACCATTTTACGCACAATTAATACATGTAACAACAACCAAAAGAATAGGATAAGTTCCTGGCGGTCGCTATCAATATAACTCCAAGAATTAATACTTTCTTTCTTTTTTGTTGTTTCTTTCGCTCTTTTCTTTCTCATCATTTCTTTTTCTCTTTTGCTCAACCTTTTGTTCAGTCTCTTTATTTCTCTATTTCTTACATTGCTCTTTCTTTCTTTCTTTCTTTCTTTCTTTCTTTCTTCTTTCTATTAATTTTCCATTTCTCTCTTCGCTCTTCCGTTTTTCTTTCTTTATTTCTCTTGTTAGTTCTGTTCTCGTCCTCTTGTTCATTTACCTTTTCCTTTCTTTTATTTTCATTATTTTCCTAATGAATGTTCTTACACATTTTATTTCACATCTTAATGTTATATTTTCAGCTGATTTTATTACAACTTTTCATTCATTTCTTTATATGTTTGTTTCTTTTTTTTCTCTCTTTTATTCTTTCTGTTTTGTTTAATTTTTCTTCGTATTATTTTTTCGTTTACTTTTTGAAAATGTATTCTTTAATTTACGTGATATACTTTACGGCCTTCTGTTCTTTTTTGTAAAATAAGAGAGAAACCAAATATTTTCTTACGGAATGAAATAAAAAAAAGGAAGGGGAAAATCTTCTGCGTGAGATATTAATTTAAATGCACATAACGATTAAAAAAGAACATTTTTAGAATCAACTCAGAAATTCAAAACAAACGACGTTTATGGCAATACCTGAAGAGCAGAAAATAAATTTAGAAACCATTCGATGAGTAAAAGGGATAAGTTTTGACAGAAACAATCCAAACTTAAGCAGTGTATTTAGTATTATGAATCATTACATACAGAAGAATATCTTCGGTATATATGAATTTAATGCCTAAAACACATCGAATATAAACTCCAAAAAATAAATGTAATAAAAAAAAATACTGCATTGTAACTTTAAGATTTGTTCCTTTTTATTTGAGATTTAAAACTGATTTTACTGACATATATATATATATATATATATATATATATATATATATATATATATATATATATAAATGATATGTAATATTGATAAATATCAATAATTGACAAAGATCAGTATTTAAATTATACAAAGATTAGTTTTCAATCATCACCTGATGATTGCATCGTGCTGAGATTTGTGACACCGCTTAGGAATGTAAATGTATATTTATTATTAATATAAATTATAGCTCTGTTATTATGCATCAAACTTTATTTTATTGGCACCAGCACTCAATATATATATATAATGTCAAATTTTGAATTACTTGGCTTACGACTATTTCACGTTGAAACCCGGTTTTCGTTAGATCCCCGAAATCAATCAACCTCGAGCTTGGTCAGTACCTTAATAGGTGACCGCATGGGAATACGGTCTTCCCAAAGCTTGGCTGTACCGGTAATGGATTGAGCCTCAGAATTGGAGCTCCGAGAGGTGAGGTTCAATTCCAGTCGCGTTCGTTATATCTACTTACACGCAACTACCCTTAGGAAAGGTAAAAATCTACCTCTTCTTTCCCCGCCTCACCAGCCGTGGCAATACTTGTATCAGTAAATCATTATTATCTCCCCAAAATTCTTACATTCTGAAAGCATTATCTGGATTTAATTAACATGAAGAAGATAGATTAGCCTTAAAAAACAGATTAATTAGTCAATGAAACCACACTTGCGCGGCAATTGAAATGATGGTGGGAGTCTTGGTGGATAATAATGTAGCATGTTTAATTCTCAATTGATGCCTGTCCCGTTTGGGCTAAACTATTTTAAACTTAGGAAATATCAAAAATCCCAAGGAGAAAAAGAACGAAATCAAGCAAGGGAGAGAAACAAAGAATTTAAAAAAAAAAATGTGTATGAGTGGGTAAAAATGACATAACAATTATTTAATTAATATCAATTAGCTAAACAGAGATTTAATAGTTACAATTTGCGAGAACCTTAATTTAAAAAGAAAAAGAAACCCAGAGAAAATAAAAAGTAAAAACCAAACAATATAGAAGGAAAAAAAATGCTTTTGAAAACATGATGTTAAGTTTAAGTGAACGATCTGGAATGAGAGAATAATTTGTGCGCACCTGAACAAGAAACCTACCGTAAAACGAACACGCGAACACATAGATAAGCAGAAATCAGGAGACATACTGACTTCCAGCCTCATGCCAAACACAATATTAACCGTCCTACGCTCCGTAGTGTAAGAATTTAGTTCGATTGGCAATCGTCAGCCCCTATCAGTTTGCAACAATTTTCTTATGAAATATCGATCAAGTTATCTGTTATCGGTTGTGTGGTGTTGTCGAGGGCGTTTTTGATGAGGCGGGGGCGTAAGAAAGAGAAAGAAACCATAAAAACGAAAGATTCAAAAAGAGAGAGAGAGAGAGAGAGAGAGAGGGGGGGAAAGGAGGGTGGAAGTGTATGATGTGGGGATTGTATCGGAGGATGGAACCACGCGATAATTTTTCCCTTTCTCGGAATCTGCTACGGCTACGATGCTGCTACTTTCAGAATGTCCGTGACGTAAGCAGTTGATTGACAGCTTCGACTGAACAAAGGCCCGCCCATCTATGCCTGTACGTTTTACTCTCTAACAAAATCCCTCTCCCTCCATTCCTCCCTCTTTCTCTCTCACACTTTCTCTCTCTCTCTCTGTCTGGGAATAGTTTACGATTTCTTTCACTCTCTCATACTCTTACTCGTTTTCGCTCTTATATCTTTATCTTTCTATATACTTCTCTCTCTCTGACTCTCTCTCAATCCCTCATGTCTACATCTTAATGTTTTACTGACATCGAAATAAAGTTTATTCCTTGTCAATAAGAATAGTCACCACTCGCTTTACACTTATTTTCTATCTATATTTTATGCGATCCTTTTCGTTCTCTCTTTCCTTTAGTTATCCGTTTAATAATTCTATACATCAGATTGTATCTCTCTCTCTTTCTCTTTTTCTCACTTCCACCTGCTTATCAATCTTTAAGTCATTTTCCTCTCTTACTACCTCCCTTTTTATTTCTCTCTTGCTTCTTTTACCTCTCTTTCAATTTGACCTTTTTTTACTTCTTTTTTCCCACACACATTTTACATCCCTATTCTCTTTAGTTTTATTCCATTGTCTGAGCCACTCCTTCCTTCTTTTTTTTTACCACCGTCTCTTTCTTTATCTTCTTTTAGAAAAGGACAACTTCCTGTTCCAAA